GCAGAGACCTGTTCCCCCAACTGTTTTTGTATGTTAAACATTTGTATCAGGTCAACAAAACATGGGCATAGTAACAATATTTTTTATACTACATTTATCCGTTTTAAATATACTAACCTCACTCCTTTGTAACAACTAAGGCAAAAATGTCATTAATTCAGAAAATCTTTTCAGGACCCCACCTTGATGTTTCGGGACCCCACTTTGGGTCCCGACCCCAACTTTGGGAAACACTAATGTATACCATTCTGATACTGTATYAATTTGTGCACAATCCACCACAGCTGCATGTTTTTAGAAAAAATATTTTTGGAGAGGTCACCTCCCAATGAATGTATTTTGGAACATCTAACTGCTCATTTTTACTCAGTACTTTTACTTTTAATACTTAAGTATATTTTATGTCATAAATTTACTTTTGATACTTAAGTACAAAAAAAATCTGATACTTTAAGACTTTTACTCAAGTAATATTCTTAGAGGAGACTTTAACTTTTACCAAAGTAATTTTATGATAATATACTTGTATTTTTACTCAAGTATCACTTTGAGGTACTTTATACAACACTGCTGAAAACAATCAATGGGTTCACGGCTGCAACCACATTCAAGATGGCCACCACAATAGCATCGTCTCTAACTCAGTACGTTTTACAGAYACTGAGCTAAAGTTTGGTGAGGTCAAAGCTATGAGTCGGTCCATATTCTGAGAAGTAACAGGTTTTACAAGCCTAAGTTCAAATGKCTACAATTCAATCCATTCCCAAAAGTTTGGGTCGGGACCCCACTGTGATTCCTGAAACTTCTATCTTTCTGTGTATTGTGTGTAAATTATATGTAAAGTATATTGTTAATACTAGAGAGACACGAACAGCCGGAAAGAAATTCCTCATGTGTTTCAACATACTTGGCCAATAAACCTGATTCTGATTATAAGTGGGGTCTTGATAAGATTTTCAGAATTAATTACGTTTAAAAATGACTACTAGCAACTTCTTTTTCTTAACTGTTGCAAAAGAGCGTGGTTAGCATATTTAAAAAAATGGATCAAATCAGAATAATGAATAATGTTACTTTGTCCTTGTTTATTTAACTCGATGCCAATTTTTATCACCCAAACATAGCTGGGGGCACGGGTCTCTGCTGCTCTTATTTTGTTGGTCAAAAGAAATTTGAAAAGTTTGTGAACCTTGGCTCTAAGGAATGGCAGGACTTCAATTGATTTAGATAGACAGTTTTTGTTAAAAACCTCCTGGTTTTTGTGCACAAAAAGTTTTTTTTTAGTTTTTATATAATAATATGGAGAGAATAGTGCCTTCATAAAAAACTATAATAAAAAATATCTCTTTTTTTTATTACTGTAATACTTTCAGTTGCCTTTTTATTTTATTATCTTTTCTCATGCAGCTTTTCCATTTGTACTTTTACGTCTATTCTCCGAATTTAATTAAAAAAGCACATTGTGTTGCTTCATGAATGAAAGCTTCTAAAAAAATAAAATAAAATTCGACTCTCGTCACCMATCTGTTAAAACATACCTGTGAAGTCTATCTCCTCTCTCCTCAGGTAATGCCCGCTGTCTGCCAGTTTAAAAGTCTGACCTTTGATCTGACCCTGGATCAGGAGTTGCCGGAAAGGTTCCCTGGGAAAACAGGAAGCTCTTTAACATGACGGAATTAAATTTGCCTGTACATCCGGAGCAGATCAGAGCAATGTCCTCCACCTGTGAGCCACAAGGCCTTGGTCCCTGCAGAAATGGCAGAGGAAACGGGCGTAATACAAGTGCATGATGGCGTGCTCCTTCCCACCGATGTACACGTCCACGGGCAGCCAGTGATCAGCCAGGTGGCGCTCAAAGGGCCTGCAGGGAAGGAGGGAAGTTCAAGGGGCTGGAAACAGTGGAGCTCTTTATCAGTTTGTGAACGACAAATAAATGAGCAAATCTAAGAAAGCTAAGATTAGCAAAACTGTAACTAATGATTAGCAAAAAAGCAACTAAAAGTTAAAATTAGCTAAACTATAGGTTAAAGCTAAAGTTAGCACCTCCATAGCTAAAGGCTAAAACAGCTAAATTGTAGTTAAAATTAGAGATGCACGATATTTCAGCATTAATATCGGTATCGGTCCGATATATAAAACTGAGACGATGTTAACATCTGATATTGGTTTTCCACTTTTATGCTTTCTGTTTCTGTTTTGGGAGKGGAGATGGTTGGTTGAGCTGCATTTGTTTGATCATGATAGTGAGATTGATGCTGCGYAGCCAGAAATAACTGAAGTAGAGAGCCATATCAGAGGTCTGGTTGTTACGGTATCAAGAAAAGACCCAAGTGTGTTTAAGTGTGTTGGTGCGTATATGTATAATATAATTTGTGTGTTTGTGTAATTTTGGTAAATATTAGTTATCTGCCATAATAGCAATAATTATACCGGATATCAATAACGGCTGAATTAAAATCTAAAATGAGCAAAACTATAACTAAAACCTACAATAAGCAAAACCTTAGCTGAAAGTTAAAAGTARCAAAAGAAGACAAAGAAAGAGCAATGGAAGCAAAGAAWCTGAAACAATCAGGGAATTCCTGTTTGTTTTTTTCTTTAAAACAACTTAAATACTTTGAAAAACATTAAATGGTTAGAAACTGCAGGAGACAGAGCAAACTATGCTTGACTAAGGCAAACATTCTGATACATGAATGTTTAAAATATCAAAAGAAAAAAACGGAAGTAGTTTGATCCCAAAAACAGTACWAACAAGCACAGCATTCACATTATAAAGAGAAAAATATCCCAGAACATTTAATTAGACGTGGTTATAAAGTTAGCAGCAGAAATGCACATAACCTCCTGTAGGGGGCAGGCTAATTCTGAAACAACACAAATCCAAAGATGAGGTGAACTGAAGCATCCTGAAACATCCTCTGGATCTCCACAGGTCAGCTGGGTGTGACTAACCTCGCTGTTGAGCTAATCAGCAACAACGAAGCGCTTTAAAGCAGACTACCATCTCACTGTGTCTCCTTTAACAACACTCATTACTCTTTTTCATAACTCCGTCTCTCAGCTTTTCCTCTGCAGACGATCGGCTCTCCAGATGATTGAACCAAGAAGGGAGGAGGAAAAATCCCACCAGAAGTCAGAACCGAAAAAAAATTCAACTTGTTTGTTGGCGTCGGGCCCATAAAACTCTAATCCACCGCCTCCCATATATAACACACCATTCTCATTTTCTTCCTATTTCCTGATACTTTTTCTCATCTCTTGATCCTTTTCATCTTTTCCCCTTCCTGTGTGTGAAAGGCTCAGCGAGCCAAGTGAGATGCACAAATAGTGTAATTGCTTTTTCTGTTGTGCCGTAATCTGTCCGGCTCGCAAAAGCAACGGAGAGAGCAGTCCCTTCCATTTTAGAACAGCTTTCCTGCTAGGTCAGGGCAMTGGGAAATTAATCTCTTTTGTTAAGCTCGGGAGATCGCCAGCATCCCAATCGGTGACGGGAACGGCACCAAAATCACTGCTGGTGGGGGGAAGTTTCCAGGAAGTTTGTGTGTGTGTGAGCACTGTCTGTATTTGGGGTGGGGAGGTGACAAAGGAGAGCAGGTGATCAACATTCACAAAAAGGAGCCTATAGAATAATGTGTTTGGAAATGAAGTGAGCTACAGATCCATATACAGCGGGTAAAATAAGTATTGAACACGTCAACATTTTTCTCAGTAAATATATTACTAGAGGTGCTAATGACATGAAATTTTCACCAGATGTTGGTAACAACCCAAGTGATCCATACATACAAAGAAATCAAACATAAATGTCATAAACAGACCTTATTTGTAATAATGTGGAATGGCAC